CAATTATAGAAATGAACATGGTAAGTCGTAGCAGTTCAATCCTAATTATCGTGGGACGTTCAATGAAAGTATCTATGTATGTACGCATAAAGGTCAGAGATTATGCGAGTATAAATACACACATATATATATATATATATATATATATATATGCAGTGTATATAAGCTGTTTAATTCACTACTGTTACTTATATTTATTATTTCAATGATTTCAATTGAACAAAATATAATAATTTCATGTTTTACCTCCTGCCACATAATTATATATATAAACAAATAAAATTAAAACGAAATGAACTTGGATTTAGATCAGGGATAATAAATCGTCTTCATTTCCAAATATTATCTTAAGCAATTCTGCCTGTTGAATTAATCGTTAATTTAATTAATTGGAGTTTTATGCAAAAATATAATTGTATAAACGAAGAGAAACTTTTTTTTCGGTGAGTTTCGGTATCGTGTATCGCATACTTGCCGACTGCTAAATATCTCGATCATCATTACCGACTTTATCGTACACAGGACGTACCGCGTATGTATGTGATTTCTCCGAAGAAGATCTCCACATTTACGCCGTATGCTCACGCCCTCTTAAGAAATATTGCAGCTCTAATAGGAAATAACGATAAATGATGATAATTCAAACATATTGTTCAGCGCGGATGATAATTAGTTTAGAATTTTTAGCAGATTTATAGTAATAAAAGAGACTATAAGGTAAGATTAGATTAATGTTTACATATGTGAATATTAGCTGGATCGTGATAATACCAAAAATCAATAATAACCCGGCAGATTGACGTTAAAAATTAAAACATAATGACATTTATTTTGGTTTCTTAAATATCACTCTATATACCGTCACTTGACTATCGTGAAAATAACAGAGTAAAAACTAAACATATTCAGTCAGAATGTTTATTTAATTATATATAATATATATACGATATAGAAAAGAATAATGTGCGCATATATAACTATTTAATTTATATTATTTCTTAATAATTGGATGCTCCGAGGATTCCTAATCATTCAAATTAAATTAATGAAAATAATGTTAATTTAAAAAATTACGTATGTACATTTCGTAAATAAAAAAAAAACAATTAATTGAAGCATAAAGAATTTTGACGTCCAGTCGCGTATCATTTACAAAAGATCAGATGTCTTAGTTATTGCAGTTTTTGCTCAAATAACGTTTTTCCTTCTTACAAAATTAATGTGGATTGCATCACATACCTTACTTCTTTTTAAGAAGAGCAGGCGCCCGAATTATCTTCTTTCTCGATGGAAACTTTTTATCTTGTTTTTATTTTTAATGAGACTCTCAATTTGTTCAACTTCTTATGGATTTACACGTGTCGGTACGATACATTACTGTAAGATTGTGGCAGACGCGCGGAGACACGAACAGCATTCGGGATGGAACAATCGAAAATTAAAAATAAATTATCTGTCAGATTTTTATACGACGGCACGTGTCCCCTCGTGTTACGCGAATCCCCCTTCGTAAACTTTGTAATTTATTTGGCTCATATCGCGCGATTTTCTGCGTGTCGCTCGACCTTTCCCTGCTACGCTTATCATGTATTTATCATCGTGACACAACTCACACTTAAAAATTGTACGATATCGCGAGGAAAGAGAGAAAAAAAGTATATAGTATTTTTAACGTAATGCGAATTCGGGGAAAGAGGGAGATATGTAAACGGTGTGTGTGTATCATCGCGGCGATTGACGTTTCGCGAAGTATAATTTTAGCTACTTCTTTTTTTTTTGCTCTGACAAGAGGAGTAAGTAATAAAGGAGCGCGCATCACACGTTTCCTGACAACCCGTGATTATCACGAACAACGTTACTACGCGATGCGAGTAACACGTTATTAGCGCAATATGGTGCTTATAGATATAGGGGGCCGTTCGGAAAATGTCGTTTGGATTTTAAGGAAGAAGCACCCCGTGAGAGACAAAACCGAGTCGGGGAGAGATGCAGTCGGCGGTGAAACGCTATTACAATATTAACAAGATCCTCATGTCGAAAATCGGCGTTTGGCCGACACAAAGTAAATTCATGAAGATATTGTTGCCGACCATAGTAATGTCTTTTCTTTTCTGCATCGGTTTTCTCGAGGTAAATTTCGGCCGCTTTTTATATTGTCGGTGTAAAACTATGTGTGTGTGTGTGTGTGTGTGTGTATTCCGTTATGCGAATAAAATAGCAAGATAGAGAGAAAGAGAGAGAGAGAGAGAGAGAGAGAGCGAGCGCGCGAAAAAAGCAGAAGTATCCCCATGTGGTTAGCATACGTACGGCTTATTTTAGACGTGATCGGACAAGTATGCAGCATTAATTTCTCGAAGTCTTCTAAATTTTTTGAGATAACAAAAAATATCTTAAATATTTATACGTCCCGCAAAAAAAAGAAATTTTAATATACATGTGTATGAGTGTACGTACGTGTGTGTTATTTCATATCATATCTACAGCAATCATCATATTGTAACTCATGTGGTCAATAAAATTATAATATGCATCTGACTTAACAGTGCGGCAAATAATTTCGAATTATTATCAGCTTTCAAGCTACTGCACGTGTAGATATTTAAATAAAAACTTCAAAGACCGCCTCAAATAAAATGTTTTTAAATTTTAAATGATGTTTATGAGACAACGTCTTCATGAGATTAATTTTTTATAGCAACTTTTTTAAACTTGTCATAAATATCCAAAATATATTTCTAAATCTTCATTACTGTATCGCATAAACAATTAATTCCATTTATATAACAATGCATAAAATGCTCCAGATATTATCTTCTTTGATCAATTTTAAATCAATTTTTTTTTTTAATAAAACATCACAAACAAGTAGAATTCAAAAGCTCTCTAAAAATGAAAGTCTTGACCAAATAATTTAATTATTAATTTTTTTAAAGAGCTCTTAAATTCTAATTACTTAAAAATATAAAATCTATTTGTGATATTTTTCTCAAGAAAAAAAGAAGTCGATTCAAAAATTGGTCAAATAAGAAAAGTGCGATTGATCTGGAACGGTAGATATACATCTTCTATTTTATGAAAGTCATCATGTTATCAAAGATAAAAAAAAATCGTCTTATCGCATCCCAAATTTCTTGTCGCAATTCGTACACATTACCTTGTTACTTACATTGCTCTTAATGCAGGTAGGTGGAAACGTTAGAGACGCGCAGAGGTGTTCGCAATTATTATCGCCGGTTTTCAGTTTATAAGACTGTCTGAAACATGGAGAACCATAACCGAGGACTGCGAATGCTGCATCATGGTGATAATTACATTCGGCGGCTACGTTAAACTCTTTGTCATTTGTCTCAAAAACAAGAATGTAAGATTTCGCGAGGCTGCTGCAGTCTGATTTCGTTTGATTAAAAAAATAAAAAAATAAAAACGCGAGACGCGAATCGTCAATTCTTCGTTTTATTCATTGATCCCCAGATAGAACAGCTGTTGTCGCTTATCGACTATCACTGGCGCGTTTTCACGCATTCGTTGGAGGTGCAAATCATGCAGGAGTACGTTATCGTAGGACGGAAAATGGCGATAAGTTATACCGGTAATAATGAGATAAATCACTCGCGTGTCGTCCGGCTTATAACGCCGGCTCGTCACGCTCAACATATCGCACCCACTTTTACACGTGTCATCATGAATTGCAAATGCAACTGATCTAAATAATTCGATCGTTTATTCGTCGATGAGTTTTTTTTTACATCGTAGCAATAATACGAGTTGCAGTTATGATTTATTTGTTGTCGAGCCTTTACATGCTGATCCCGGTAACGCCGCAATTATTGGATCTCATTACGCCTCTCAATAAATCGCGCCCCTACAAATATCTCTTCGACGTCGACTACAGCTTCGACAGGGAGGTATATTACTATCCCGTATTACTCCACTCCTACTTGACGATCGTGGTGGCTATGGGCCTTATGATAATAACCGATACGAGCTACCTGTCGCTCGCGCAACACGCGTGCAGTCTGTTCGCCGCTATCGGGTATCGTATACCTATAGCACTTCATTTTCTGAGAAATTTCAATTTCAGAAACTTAAGTTTCATTTCAGTAACAGAAAATTATGCTCTCGTCTCTCTTAAATATTCGCAGATAAAATTTTGATCATGTTGTTTCAAAGGTATCGACTAGAAAATCTGACCTATGAGATAAATTCGAAAAAAAATACCGTTAAGGATGCAGAGGTAATTAGTAAGAAGTGCAAATCGCGAGATTACGATGACGAGATCTATCGCGAAATGGTGCTTCTCTTGCAGAAACATCAGCTGAGTATTGAGTGAGTTTTGCATTTTTTATCGCATATTATATACACATGCCACTGCAATGTGTTTTGCATTCGATTTATCTGTTTGTGTATCTTTCAGATACGTCCGTTCGTTGGATTCTTTATTCGAGATGTATTCGTTTATGTTGCTCTTCATTACTATCATCGTGATAAGTCTCCTCGGAATTCAAGTGAGCGCGCAACGGTTATTAATTAAGATACATTTGCCGATTAAAAATTGCTTCGTGTTCTCTAGAATTCAATTATCTTGCAGATAATTGGCTTACTAGATCGCAAAGAAGAGATGGTCAGATTCGTAGCGATGGTAATAGGCGCTTTCGTACATCTTTTCGTTTTGAGTTATCCCGGCCAGAGGATAATGGACCACAGCGCAGATATATTCCATAAAGCGTAAATATATCGCATCAAAGTTACTTGCGCGATGTGAGAGAATTAAAAAAAAAAACAAATGTGGTAAAATGCAGATAGATTTTTTCGGGGAAAGAGTATCCAAATTTCTTGTTTTCTGATTCTTCAGCACCGCAGGAGAGAATAAATCTGTTTTGTTATTTATTTATTTATTTTTTAACAGTTTTCTTCAAAATGTCTAAAATTATTTTATTTTCTATTTTCTTTGTCGTCTTTTTGCTCTTTCAAATATTTCAATAATTTAAAAGGACTCGATTGATCATTGTAGAGACAGAAGGTAAAGCGTTATTGTAATATAATTATTGTTTTTAGATACAACATGCTATGGTACAGAACGTCGCGAAGAACGACACAGTTGTTGAGCATATTACTTTACAGGGGTTTTGTACCTTGTACATTAACGGCTGGCAAAATATACGTGCTATCGATGGCGAATTATGCATCGGTAAGAATGGCTCTTTTTAATTCATGCAGCATCTACAGTACTGTGGGGATATATAGTCAATTTGAATTTTAAGATGGTGCAGGCAGCCATATCTTACTTCACCGCCCTTTCGTCGTTCAGGTAACTTGCGGTGAAAAGAAAAAAAAAGGGAGATTATGTTGGATAATTAAACGATAAAATTAGCGATTTTTTGTGATTTTTCGTCGTTAATATATACAATTGTAATTTTAATTCTAATTTTAATTCTTATCGCGTAAGAATGATAAATGAAATCAGTAAAAATTGGCAAGTTATAGATGGAGATTTTGAAACGTGTTGTAAAGTTATTTTTCTGTTTGTACGTTAACATAAAAATTTAAATATAGTTGTTATTATTATAACGTTATAATCGTTACCATTTTTAAAAATAAAAATCCAATCTGTCAAATCAACACAATTTCATCGTCAAGAAGTTATTTGTACGTGTTCATAATTTGTAAGAGCGCGTGTATTTTCTGCAACTTTTATAGCTCAAATTGTCGGACGGTTAACGCAAGTATTAAAAAACTTTAATCTTTTCATCCTTTAATATCCAAGCTTTTAAGTAATGTATAAAAATTTAATACTACACGGATCAAGGTACAGAAAATCGTAATTTGGAGACTAAACGAGAGATATTAGAGTCTATTAAATTAACAATGGTTAACGAATAAAAATCGATGTTGAAGGATTCTGATTTAAATCTCGTAGTCTGAAAACGTGTAAGAAACCATTTAAAGCAATTCACGACGTCGTGAAAGAAATTGAGATCCCGTCAGAGAGCACCATTATGCAAAAATCAATTACGAAAAAATCCAATCAACGTGCACTAAATACACGAATGCATTATTACGTAAAAAATCAACGGCAACAGTAAGATAACTGCACATAATTATATAACAAATAATTATCGCTGTGTAAAAACAGTTAATGTCACAAGTAAAAACAGCGAGGTAAAAAAGAACATCCAAGGCTCGCTGTTACTGACGCCAATCGAGCGCATAAAAACGACCTGTTAATACAGTAAAATCCAAAAACAAATTGATTATCCGATTACATAAATGCGTGACTGCGTGATTTCTTTTTCTTTCTTCTCTTCGTCTCATTTTGATGGCCTTTAGGGCTTTCAATCGACGTCACCCGGATCCGATTGAGATTATAGTAAAATTTTCCTTCTTCGAGAAGAGATTCACAGGTGTGTAATTAAGATCGACAGGTGTCTAATTAAGATCTAGAAAAAACAACAGCAAATTATCAAGTTGAGCTTATTTAATTCAGATGACTGATGCAATCAAGTTTGCGTAATTAACGAAGATGTGCGAATATTCGTAAATTGCGAAAAATTGTCGAATCTAGTTTTTCTTCACCATTCTCGGGGCGAGTCAAATCGCTCGGAGAATTCGAAGTCTAAAGCCACTAGAATTAACGACGCAATTTGGAGGAAGAAAAAGCAAATTGCTGTCTCAGAAAATTTGGATTTCAAGCAGCGAAGTTACTCGCGTGCCTATTTCACGCGATCGAATTTCACATAATCGCAAATCTTTAAATAATTTTATCCTATCGAAATTAAATCGATGCGTCATCGTGAAATCGAGAAACGTCATAATCATCGAAATCGCGAGAACATCGTATTATCACGCTCGCAGATAATTTGTGGTTACTACTGCATACGAATTGTTTGGAGTGCTTTATGCTTTATGCATAAGTGTTGCAACGTTCGTAAAAACGGTGCTTGCGTGCTTCACGTGAATTTCTCCTCGCCATATATTTCCATATATTTTCCATATATATATTTTAATAGTTCGTAAAACGTATCGTATATACGTCGTAGGTACTGTAGGTAGACCCTTTGTGTCTCGCGCACGTGTAATGTTCTGAATGTCTCGTCAGAAAAATCGAGATGTCTTTAAGAGTTAAATCGAAACGTTTATGAAATTCGCATATGTATCGATATATATTTTACAAAGATTTCAAAAGTAGTACATTTTTTTACTTACGACATAAATCGCTTTTCTATATTTTCTTACAAAATTTCTTATTTTTTGCAGATATATCGAGACATAAGAAGGATTGTATGGTATTATATAGATATGAATCTTATGACTTTACTGGGAATTCAACTTTCAAGAACAGGGCATATGTGTATTTTCGAAGATATCTTTCGAAGAAGTTTCGCGGAGTTCTAAAAAATCCTACCACTTTAACGTCAGCATATCTTATATATATATTACTAATTACGATTATTACATATTTTGCTCAGCTTTCCGCACCGGGGGAAAAAAACGGGCTTTTTTCCCGGGGAAAAATTCTTTCCCTCCTTGAGGGAGAAAATCTCTTTTTTTCTATCTTTTTGTATGGTGCGATTCGCTTAAGAGTTTCAGACCCGGGGCTGGCTTAATCGCGGAACCGAGGTCGTCCCGTCTGGCCGCGGCAACATTATCGCGAAATGTTTCAACCGGACCGACACGGAGACGGCGGAGACGGCGACGGCGGTGGCGGCGGTGGTGGCGGGCCGTTATGGTGGGGACGCACGTGTCGTCCCTTTTGTCATTGTGATATAACACATCCGAGTCAATTCGAGCCTTCGCCTCGTGTACTTCACCGATATAGCGCGCGCGTGCGTGACCAACGCGGTGTGCCCTCGACACTACGCCGGAGTAACATGGCGACTGCCCCGGCGTGGTTTAGTCGATTTGCGACCATCGGCGCGTGTAGATCAATGAGAGGGGAACGACGACGTTGAGTGACAGTTCTTCTTGTACCGCTCCGTAAGTATATAATATATTTTATATACATACATATATACATATGTGTGCGTGTGTGTGTGGGTGTGTGTGGGTGTGTGTGTTGTATATATATTATATATATTTATTTATATATGTGTACTTATATATTTATATATATAAATATATATATATTTATACATATTTATATAATATATATTTATATATATTTATATATATTTATATATATTATTATTATATATGTATATTTATATTGCCTTTTAAAAAAAGATTGCACAATCCGTGAACTCTCGATCTCCAGCCACGTGTCGTCTCACGGCCGAATACGCGCGTGTCGTTTGACACGTGCATTTTTTCTTTCTCTTTCTCTCCATTTCGCAACCGGAAATTGCACGCGCCTCCGTAAGCCGGTTTTGTATTCGAAAGGATCGAACACGGCGACGACGACGGGATCACGGCGCAGGTCGAGTTTCGCGATACGCCGAGGGCTCGCACTCGTATTCTATACTACCCCGCGTTTTCTCTCGTGAATGACGCAAATGCAACAGGAGAGAACTTTAGTATTTTCCGCGCGGAAAACCACAGTGTGAATCCGCGGAATTCGCGTCAGGCTCCGAAATATGACGTCAATTGTTTCTCGTGTTTTTCAACAGGAAACTGTGATTTTTTTTTCGTTCATCAAGAGAGCGATTGTCCAATCCATTGAACCGTGATACAGAATTCCAAGGTCATATGCACAAGATTAGCAATGATTTAGATATTTAGACATAATTTAGATATTTCACAGTTCCATATATATTTAGTATTATTCATTATGGTATAATCACATTGCAGTGATAGATTCACAAAAATTATTTCACAAAAATTTGGGATTTTAATCGCATAGATTTTAATATTTTCCGTAAAATATCAATTTTTTTTCCATATCATTTTGCATCAGGATATTGTTTAAACCAAAAACAAAATTGCTCTATTGGAAGCATATAATTTTTGAAGCGTTTTGCTACAAATCTTTTATATGATGCGTAAATAATCTATTCAAATATTAACTTACAATTCACAAATAAGTGTAAATATTTATTTCCGAATGTTATATAAGAATTTTCGATAGCAAACCAGACCGTGACGACACAGAAGTGATTTTATAGATATTTTGAAAAACTGAATTTTCCACTTTCGTCTGTACTCGTAGACGTATCGAATCCTTGCACACGTCGATAATCTCGCTCGTCCTCCCCCTAACTTACGTCAACAGATGCGGTTCGTTGTTCGTGTGCAAGGGGGTCTATAAAAATTCGCGCATGTCTGTAAAATATGATCTTGACTGCAAACTGAGAAAAAGGAGAAGAATGGGTCCTAGAGAATGTGTTATACGAGAGTAGAGAGAATTGCGCGTGTCCATCCTTCTCTGATGTGCTGACTAAGAGAATACGTGCAGACACACAAGCTCGTGTCGTTGAACTTTGCAGCCGCCACGTGTACTCCGCGGGCTCCTCGCGTGCAGAACAAAAAAAAAACGAGAATTCAGTATCTGCGGTAAATTCGCGGAACGTGAGAAGAGGAAAAGAAAGGGAGACATGTCGATTGATGCTGTCATTCCTTCCGGTTGCGTTTTTTCCCTCAATTTGAAAATTTTAACACCAATCGCAAAAAAAAACACGAGGATATTTCTAAAGTCTGAATTAAATCGAATTCGAATTTTCTGATCGGGAATGAATTCGAATAACTCTTGTACTAAATAGTCATTTTAATAATAACTATTAATCAATTATTAAATAATCATCAAAATCGTTACTAAATAGACAATCGATTCGCGGGAATCGATTCGAAAGTAAATAAATCTCTCTGATATTACAAGCTATCTTCCTAAATATATTCTAAATGTTCCAAAAAAATATTTCGGATTAGGATTTAATAAATAAGTACGAAATGTGTGTGTGTGTGTGTGTGTGTGTGTGTGTGTGTGTGTCTAAAATAATTTGTTTTTTTATACAGATCAAGCATGCGTTCTTAATTAAAAGGCAAATTCATAAAAGTTAGTTTGGTCGAGATTATGATAGACATGTGTAGAAATCATATGAATGGAAAGACACGATTATCTGTTCAAATATTAAAAATAGATTGGAAACTGTTAAGTCTGTATCAAACTACGCATTGGAGATTGAGGATTGCGAATTGAAGATTAGAATTTAGCCAGCCAGATAATTTTACTTTTAATCAGTTTCATTCTTATTGATTGAATTTCAATTCTCCAATTTGTAATTTTCAATCTCCAATGCGTTTGGTATGAGCTTTAAAATTGAGATTTAAAATAAAGATGTATTTTGTGTTAAGCTTCGCGTAACAGAGAGCCATTGAACAATTTGGAAGCTATTGTACATCCGAACTCGATTTAGTTCGAATAGATTCGAAAATTTTTTCGTACAATAATGTTATTTACCAGGTGCGTTTATCGTTTTACGATAATTTTAAGTTAAACTAAATCAAATTTAATTCAGAAAATACTCACAATCCGAGCATATTTTGTATTTTGATATTTTGTAATCCATGTGTTGACTTAAATTTTCCACGGTTCTACTTTGAACGATGCATATACAAAAGGAAGACGCATTTACAATTCCAATTTGTTCACGCATATATCAAATGTGGCAATTGGTTCGTTTAGTGTGATGAATGAGTAAATGTCTGTGCTTCAATTCTAAACAAATGCATGAATAAATTTTAAAATTGTGTATAATCGAAGAAATCGTAAGAAGCTGAAACATAGTTTTACGTAAGCAATTCTGCAATTCTGTCAAATTACAAGTCTGACAAATTACGATCTCGTAACAGAGAACATGAACAGAGGTTAGATGCATGAAAAAGAAATTATTTTAAATAAAATTATTTCAGAAATAAATGATCCGGTGCTGAGTAAAGGAATTTAAAATGTATGCGAGAATATCTGATATTATTATTCATGTTAATTAATTGTTATGTAATTGAATAGACACAATTTAGATATGATCTCGGAATTTATTCCTCACATAATTAATTTCTCGATATTTTACATCGATTTATAAACGCGATAACTTCACACACTTTTTAAAAATATATTGCATAGTTTGCAAAATTCTAGTAGTAATAGTTTCTTATACGATCTAACATTGAAAAAATACGTATTGTTTTGGAAAAATGCTGTATGTACTGTTGACTGTAGTCTTTATCAATGTTGTCATGAATGTTCTTTCTTTGAATGATATAGCAGCTAGAGTTCGTGGGAGGGTAATTAATGACTCATTCAAGAATGAAAATTACATATACGGTGTTCCACAATTCGCGTCTTTAATTGTAATAAATTGTTTGATTAAATTGGAGTTTTTTTCTTTCTCGACGAAAATGAGGGATGTTATGTATATGTTATAATTTGTCATAATCTTCTAATTTTGGATGTTATATCTTCGTAAGTCTCCTTAAATAAAAATTCTATCAAAATATAAAATTTGAATTTAAGTAAAAAATAAGATCTATTCGCTTGGCTCGCAAAAAAATTATGGCTCTTTTCGGGTTCTTTGCAGTTTTATTTTAAAATTATCTCAATTTTTTAATTTTTTTATGAAATTATGCAATCTTTTATTTGACAGAGTTATATTTTTATTCTTGTTACGTGAAATGGAACAATATAAAAAAACTTTTCGTTTTTTCTTCTTTCTCGATATTTTTTTTCATTTTGTTCAGATAATTATAAGACCTAAAATTGTAATGCAACATAATAAGGAAAAATATAGATAAGTTTGTTTCACAAAGGTTTAAACAGATAACACGACAGTTAGATTATAGTAGGAACCAAAATTGGAAAATTATTATAAATTAGGAAAATAATTTAAATGGGCTAGAAAAAGATATTGGGAAATGGTTGGGCAATCAGTTTTGATCTCAATATCATTCATATCTCTATGCTAATAGTAAACTGTTAATATTACAAGTATATTAATAATTATCGATGTGTTTATTTTTCAAAGTAACGCAAGACCTTTCATAATATATAAGACTCTTTAAACTGCGCAGCTCTTACGTGCGCTTACGTAGTTTGTATGTAAATCTGACCACTCAATATGTGAGTACACCAATTAAAATTTTGTTAGAGTATTCTTAATCGATATTTGCTTGCGTCATAAAAAGTCTTCCATTTTCAACGGCTAATTGCGTAAGGCTGCAGACAAAAGAGTATTTCGACATTTTCTGAAAGAAGTAATCGATTCCGAAACTTGGCTAGAGAATCTCTGAGAAGACGACCAGTGATCCCGCAAGACGGATCTACTCGTATTCGTATTCGTTTACTTATAGGAAGTTTTGAGAAGTCGAAACTTAACGTACTTATCGTACTTATAATGACGCGCTTTGGGATTTGCTCGCGAAGTTCTCGAGAAAATCATAGAAATGGTGAAACTATATACAAGAGACAACGAGAGAGAGTTGGAATATTCTTGCAACCAGATTAGATTTCGGTTGCTAATTGCAACCGAAATTGCAATTAACATGCAGCCACATGCATCTATGAAATATATACAATAAAATAATGTAAAAAAAAAAAATACAAAAGAGTAGACGAAAGAAACCTGACGAGAGAGTATCCGATACCGGAGCGCATCGGAAAGATGTGAATTACATTGCTTTATCGTAGATTAATAACGTAAGTACGATACTGCAGGCACGTACGATCCGATTAAAATTTTAGAACTAATAAAAACTGTCAATCGGTTTACAAATTGTTTTATTATCCAGTATTATAAAATATAATATGAAATACCTATACCAATTATCACTTCAGCCCTGATAAGAGCGTTCTTGCCACTCCGCCTGCCTTTCCTCTGTGGGCAGTCGTCGTCCTAATATTCCGCAATATTCCGTATCTGGAATTATGTATTCGGGGAGATTGGTAGATTCGCACGTGCTATCAGATACCGTGGGCCTCGCCCTGGCGAGCGCCCTGTCCGAGGGTCGACACGCTCGTTCCCCAGACCCCGAGTTCCCTTCGGCCGTGAAAAATCGGCGACAGTTTCTACGCAGCGGACGCGCGCGCGCGGACGCGTTTCCTCATTAACACGTGTCCGAGTCGGAATGATGTCAGTGCGCGCACGTGTCACGCCGATCGTCTATACAGGTCGGCGGCGCGTGTACGCGCGTGTCGCCGGGCGCGGAGGCACATTCGTCCCCGCATCTCTCTCTAATAGAGCGAGCGTGCGGGGCAGAATGACGTAAGACGGCCTTCCACGTGCCCGCCCTCGTCGCTGCGACCGACGGTCCGCGCGTGTATCACTCTCCGTGTAACCTTAGCGCCTTAATCGAGTTTTTCCCGCGAATATGCCAGAATTATCGTACACGTTATATATCGCATGTCACGCAGCGTGATTTTCAGCACTGCCGGCGCGGAGGAAAGCGCAAAATAGATGGGCTCCCGGACGCTCCGGTGGGCGCGCGTATATGTACGCGCGCATTAATCACCGACACGTGCCAAAGCTTGGAAAAAAATCGTATTTATACTGACAGGTCGGTATGACTTTCTGAAAGAATCGTAAGAGAGAGAGAGAGAGGGGTGGGGGGGAGAGATTATGTACGCCGCAACCGAGTGGCTCGAGCTATTTATCTGTTATGATGGAGGCGAATACGAGGAAACTCGCTTTCGTCATATAATGGATATATCTGGTTCGATAAACTACGGTCTTATAACCGAACGCGAGAATCTGGATTCGATGTATATGGTAGCGGATTTGAAATAGAATCGAAATTTTTAGAAATAAATCCTCGAGATGTTTAGGGTAAAAATTTTAATATACGCAAAGAAAAAGTTAAAATTATATTGCACCGGAATAGATTCGTGAATCGAGAAATTCATTCTCCGTGTATTAATTTTTCAATATTTTAACATCGATGAGAACGGTGATGAATAAAGGAGCTATTTTTAATGTCTTTCATTCTGACTATATTTTGAAGAATAACTTTAATCCTCGAAGTGTACACTCGCTCACTAAAAGGTTGCGACACTTTTTTTTTATAGGTTTCTAATTTATATTTATACGTAATATATATTTTATAGATAACTAATATTTTGCAAATGCAAACCACGATGTACTATCTTTAGTTTAAAAGCAGTATAACACCAATCGTGGTTCGTATTTGCAAAATATTAATGCGTTTTGAAACCTATAAAAAAGTAAAGTGTCGCAACCTTTTAGTGAGCGAGTGTACATTTTGATTAGCAGTATTAAAGATAATTCCTTGAACATATTATACGGCGATCTTAGTTATATATATATATATATATATATATATAATATAATATAAACATATAAATATTATATACTTATATAATTTATTTATATGATATCAATTTTATTATAGAAATTTATAAATATATAATATAATAATTTATATAATACATAATATATATTTTTATACATTATATATTTTATGTATGTATTTAAATATTGCCGTTACTAGAAACATAAGTAAAAAATTATCATTTTTGAGATAATAAAAGGAAATTAACTTTGAAGCCTTTAACCTTTTATTACCTCAAAAATGACAATCTTTTATTGTGTCACTTTTCTATCAACACGGCAATATGTATGACATATTTTTGTTACATTTTATACATATTTGTAAAATTATATATATTTTATAAATTTTTAAATATTATAAATTAATATAAAAATAGGAAATTATATATATATATATATATATATATATATATATATATGTAATATATAATTTTATAAGCATATAAAAAATGTGATCAATAAAAAACACATATATGTACATGAATAAATGAGCATGGTTGTAACGGGCTCAAGATTGCGCGAAGGGATGTGTAAAAATTAATGTGAAGATGCAACGACATGAATAATTGAAAGTGAAATGCAAACGCGCGCGTGCCGCGCGATGCAGATGCTCTTTACCTGCTCGGGTTTTCCACGCACCGATGTGTCAAGGACTCCTTGTATTTATTTATCACGTATCATATGGTCGCGGTTGCGCGCGCGCTCGCGTCACGCCTCGCACGTGGTGGAAGAGATTCGAGGTCAAAACAATCTCAAATATACGCGCCGCGCCGCGCCGCGAGTGGGAGTCGTGAGGCTTTGGCATTATTTCGGTGCAGGCACGTGCAGTGACGTTGGCGGTAATCAGGTCATCGCCTGCATCGATCGGCGTCGGGGGGCTGCACGCGCGGGGGCTACGGCGACGGCGGCGGCGGCGACGGCGGCGGCGGCGGAAGGATACCCCACGTGCAGGATACATAGGTCGTCATCAAAACGCCGGATGTTATTCCGAAGTCAATAGCGGGACATTAAGAGTCACGTCAGCACGTTAATGACGCCGCCACTCGACGCGCGTTTTGCGGAAGTTATGACAACATTGATAAATCCCTTGACCCTTATTGTCCCCTTTTATGCGTGCGCGAACTTTTCGAAATGGATATACGATCGCCCGCGAAGGAGCGCAATATGTATTCTTGCACAATTCTCTGTCAGTTGATGTAGTCTTCAATCAACAACTTCGAGATATATATCTGCACGTATATTTTGAGCATTCATTAGACGTGTATTGTGGGTTACGCATGAATAAAATTAAGATTCTTGAACAACATGTTTTGTTCATTTCGCAAACGCGGTATCTTTACTGCCATTTTATGAAGTACCTACTATCTTCACTCCGTTTATGAAGTACTATCATCATGTTGTTGCAGAAAAAATTTTAACAAACTGAAACGTTTTAATAATAATTTTTTGTAATGAGATTTCAAAAAATTATTTTTATTATTTCTATCTAAAAAGAAGACTGAGAGCAAGAATTTGAGAGTAAGAGAGAGGGAACAATGCAATGAAGTAATGCGATATTGCATTTTTCTCGATGTAGATTTATTCTAGAACGTGATTGAAAATAGAAATCTGAAGATATCTGGAATATAAATATCCAAGTGACGGGAGAAAGCAGATATAATATTCGTACAATTCATGCAATTTTGTATAAAACGATTAAACGAATTTTAAAAGATATTTGCACGTGTCGACGAGAAGTTAGTAATTATTATTTTATGATAAATGATACAATATTTTTTTTGTACATTGCATAACATTCTATTACAAAATTGATTAGAAAAATTTTATTACGCTGTTTTAACTAACTAAATTAAATTATCGCAATTTTTTACGAATTTTACTGTGAAATTTTAATTTTCTGCATAGTAAGAAATAATAATTACGAAATATCGGCACGTCTTTTTTTTTTGCTCTATGCAAATATATCATTCCGATTGTGTGAAATGATGCTAAAACAACATTGACATAATATTCGCGGAAGTTTTAAATCGTTTATATACTGTGAGCGAACTGTTATTTTTGCTTCTATTAAACGATGGTAAATATCGCGGTATTTAAACCGGTAATGCGGAATTCATGTTTCAGGATTCTCGCACCGAGAATGCCGCCGACTTTTTGCGTAGCTGAGTTCCCGATGGCCACGGGGACCACCGTTAGCGCGTGCATTCGTCGCCGACGAGGATCTCAAAGCGACGTGGAACCAAGATTCGCGTTGGAGGAGATGCTGCGAACCGGGATCGTCGAAACTCTCTTGCCGCACCGCAAGATTTGCTCGCGGAGGTTCGACTACGCGAACACGATACCGGAACGTTCCGTCGCGGACGGAAACGTGGAGTACCTAACGAACGCGGACGAGGGTTACAAAAGACTCATCGCGGAAAGAGAAGGTAAAGAAAGAAAAAAATAGGATCGCTACTATGAAATCGCGAGATGTTACATTTTTATCTTAAACGGCTATATTATAGAATTTTAGACGATTATTTTAGAATTTTCCCAAATTCTCACGAACTGGCCGCGAGGCACGTCGTAATTCTTGCAACACGTGTTTTCGATTCGAACCGCCGTTGAAACGAGCGATTTCCGTTATGGAAATCGCTCGCGTTAGGTCACGCGTGGCAAGGATTCTCATAAATTCTCTTGGAACGAAAAGGACAGAACAGTTCTGAGAACTGACGAGAGACAAATAGAGGGAGGGTGCACTTGAAAGTATGAACCCACGTATTAGTTTGTATTTTTTTTTTAAGTAAATTGTTTTCTGCACTTTTTTAAAATAAATCATTTTTTTAGCAATAAAAGCTTTTTAGATATATTTATATGTCTAAGAGATTGTAGTTCTCTGGCTGTTAAAAGGAGACGCAGTTAAAAAAATTTGTTTAAACTTTTTATTTGAATGGCTATCTGGTAGCACCCTCTACTTGCAGTCTTGATTTAAATATGTTTAATAAGGAATATAAAATTGGGACGACAAGAAACCAAAAGAGTTCGGTTTTTTGTTTTAATGGCATTTCTATAAATTGTTTTATGTTGCAATAGTTGGCAGGTACATACAACTTCAAACCTGCGTCATGACGCAGATACTAATTTCAGTCGATCGTTGTAGACTAACGTTGTGTAAATTTCTTGAAACACTTTTGTTCTTAATATAAGAGAAATCGCCCGAGCTTTTTTTAGTTACTTGATAGCAAAACCTTTGAAGCGTTTTTTTTTGTAAAGTTTTTTTTACCTCTACGTACCTTTTTCTCGGAAAGTATATAGAACCAACTTTTATAATTTTTTACAATCTCTAAGAAATGAAGTTAGTTTTAAATTATAAAAAAAAATTGTGAATTATAAAGAAATTGTAATTTAGAAAATAAAAAAGAATAAGAAATATGTTGATATTCGTAATATGTAAATCCAGCACATGAAAAAGAGGAACATAAAGACCGATAAGACTTCGCCCTATGGTTTTCGCATCCGCACTTTCCTCCTTTAAAGCAAAGCTTGCGAAAGTTCTTCCCCCATGAGGTATATAGTCCTCGTAATCCTTGTAAATCCCTCGCGTTCGCTCGAGGGATTTATCTCATTTCGCGCGTTATTCCGGAGACGCGTTTCTAATTCGTTCTCGATCGTTCCCGCAGATCTCCTGAGCATTGTCGTACGCACGATAATTCTCATACGGCGCAACCGTATCCTCGAGAGGCGTCTGAACGCGCTGCGGGCGGAAACGCGAAGATTCCTGCGCTCCGAGTCGAATAATCCGGAAGATCAACGACGAAGGTCGCAAGTGCCGTCACACTCGGAGGACACGTGGCTCACGGGGAAAATCGTCTCGACTACATTATCGCCTTCCCGACGCCTATCCGACGAGGAATTCATTTCAAGCCACCAGTCACGGTAATCGCGAGCGCCGAACGCCAATAACGAGTCAAGTTCGCAGCTGATAAATCCGAAGCGGGCATGAGCGAGTGTTGATTTTTCAATGCCCGGATATTGATAACTTCTTAACCGGCGCGTAAATAGGCGCACGCGGTGAGTCATTCAGGCGCCCACACCTATTCTGCTGCTGTATATGTAGACACGTTTAACTTTAGATATATATTTTAATATACCTCTCTCCTCGGGAGAAGACTCTGACATTATAAGACTCTCCTCCTGTTCTGCGTAGTATATATACATGAAAAACTGACTAACTGTATTTCCGATAAAGTTACTCTGCAGGATGATCCCGGGATGTCTAGAAACTCAAGTATTATTAACTTTCACGCACGGGGTACTCCAGAATTAAAGGAAAATGAAGTTAACTTGCAACGTCATCTCCTTGCGAAATTTAGATTTTTTTTGTGGCTTGCTGGAGAAATTAGTATTAATCATTTTCGAACTGTATAGGTTGAAAATGAACGGCTTGTCGGAAATTAAGCTTCAGAGGCTAATGAGTGACGGGATTCAAGAATAATAATTAATAAACATAGTTTTCGCGTAATTGAGGTAAATTTAGCAGAGTTCTGATTTGAGGCTCGACTACGAAAATGTCGAACATTGGAACGTGAGGAATTGAGAACGATGACATTCCTCAATAAAAAAAAAAAGTGACTTCCTATTACTTCCAATTTTACGGAGGAAGCAACGCTAATATAGTTGTTATCTATTCATGGTACTCTCTCTTTCTCTCTCTCCGCCTTTGTATTCACGTTGTGCTATCTAGAGCATGGTGATGGAGACTTTTCTGAACTAATAGATATTGCTTTTTTAACAGTTCGATTCAAAATTTTAAACTAAAAAAAATTTAAAGCTGCACCGAAATGTCAGATCGAAGACTTCGGTAAAAAATTTCGCAGCCATTACGAAATACACGGAAAAAATGACGTATTAACATCAGCATTAGCCGATAACAGTCTAATTGAAAAATATTGTTAATTCAATGACAGTATTAATGAAACATACGCCATGCTCTTGTTTTAATAAAATATTATTCGTTAATATTATTCTTGTATAAACAAGGATTATTTTCAATTAGACTGCTACTGCCTAATGCTGTTAATACACAACATTATTTTTTCCGTACATATTTTCGATTAAATAAAATAAAAGCGATCCCAATGTAATCGTATCTTATTATATAATTATTACGTAATATTCTGAAATGTAGTAAAGAGAATTATATTCTTGGACGTAATATATATTTTGCAGGGTGGCAGAATTCGCACACCTTTTTTCCAACACGGCTAAGAGCTTTCGCTGAAACAATTTTCGTTGAGTGAGATATCGAAATGAATGAAGTTGCTTCTCGTGGATTTTGTAAAGTTAGTCGAGCAATTAAAAGAGCTGAAATACAGTGTTAAGTGTTAAGTTTGGTCTGTAAGTAATCTGCTTTTTGATTGAAACGTTAGATATTTATTAAACGTTTATATGGCATGACGTTTATATGGCATGACGTTTATAACGTGATATAACGTTAATGCGAAATTCGTCAAAGAATCAATGAATGCGTAAATTAGCATCCAAAGTATTTTAATTATTCCAAACTTTTTGATGTTTAACTTATAAATCACGCTTTTAAATTGCCTATAGCACTGTAACATTATTTTTTTTTTTTATTTCATCAATTAACAGACTTGTAACATCCCATTTTATACCCCGTTCTGTCTTTCAATGATCGAGTAATTATTAAAAATCTACCTATAAAAAATCATGTCAGAACTGCCACACACAGAATCCTAATAAGCTAGATAAGATCTCATTCGTTTCGATATCTCAAACAGCGAAAGCTTTTAGCCTCCGTGTTGGAAAAAAAATTGTGCGAATTCCGCTAGCCTGCACTTGTGACCCCAACGTGATCCACTAGTCCTGAGGACTGACAGTCATCACTCGGTGTCCTAACTCTTACTTGAGAAACCTCTAGTTTCGATAGCCACGCTATACATATACTTGTGGGCATCGAAATTTTTATTATTAGTTCGCGGCTCGCGGGTCTAGTGCGAGTTTCGCGAGGCGCTTCGATACGATAAGGCGCTCGTGCGAAGGTGGTTGCCGCGTTGAAAGGCGCGCCTTCAACCCGTCTGACCGCCACGATATCTTTTACAAGTAACAAATCCTTATTTATTTTGCGAATCGTAGCGTATTTTGAGATATCTATATAACTAACGAATTGAGAAAGCAATGTTAAATGCCGCATTTAATCTACTTTAGAATTGTGTGATAAAACCATATAGTTACATATATATTATACATTTCAGGGATATAATTGATAAATTTCATACTGAAAGTCATGTGATAAATATCCTTTTAGCATTATTCAATCAAACTGTACGCGAATAGAGAGAATTTGTGCCTAAGGTGCATTGTACGCGCTATTTTCCAATCACTGGAGCAATACAAATATATTGTATATAAACATATACATATAATAGGCGACGATTAGATAATATTTAGATTCAACGTAGTAACCTAATGTTCGTCGTAATATTTACTGTATGTATTTACAATAAGAATATTTTACTGTCGACATGATTATATTACAAAGTACTTTATGAATCTGATCTTACGTACGATGGACATGTGTATGTGTGTGTGTGTGTGTGTGTGTGTGTGTGTGTGTGTGTATGTATGCATGCGTGCATGCATGTGAGAGAACAAATCCATTATAAAAAAAAAAATTTGCAAATAATGTCATATCACTGTGCTTAATTATTTCTAATATCGCTTTATTTCTAATATCGGGGAAAGAACGGAATCAAATGTTACAATAAGAAATTAGTGTTTAACAGAGCAATATTCACGATTATATCGTATTTCAATATATTTTGTATAGCTTGTGATTTAAAAATAATCGAGAGAGTATATATACGTGGTATATATTGCATTCCCCAAGACTCTTTAACGGAAGAATTCTTTATTAACATAAAAATTCTGAACTTGATTATAATCATTATATTACAAGAACAAAGTTACATTGTATGTATAATAACTTATTTACATCCTCCCCCCTTCAAACTTTTTACCAGTTATTTTAATGCTGCCCGTATTTGTAGTCCTATAACATTATACCCTTTTAAATATGTAGTAAAAAAATAAAGACAATTTTACAATCATAATACTTTATGACTATCACTGATTTATCACTATATTTTATTTGAGATTTTATTTAACAATAATTTTATAGATAAGGATATGCTATGTTAAACTGTACAAGATTTAATCCATCCCATGCAAATATTGCTTTCTGATATTTACAAAAAATTTTATCCTTTTAACAAATATATTTCTTTTTTTTTGCTTTAAAATGTTTCGTATTATTATAATTTTTTTATTAATGGACTTCCGGTGATTGAGATAAAAGAACTACCAAGACCCACAATTGGAGCAGTGCCTATAAAAGTATATATTACGTTTCGTAGCGGTATTTGAATTATAAATGACAATTAACATATATGTGTATATATACTTACCATATAAATCAATACCAAAATCCTAGCTAACGGATATCTCCTTAAAAATACTCCCGTTCGAATGCTTATAGCGTCCAATGAAGAATAAGCTCTTTTTACTCTTCTAGTAACACTGGTATCGAACGGCGTTTCCATTAAAAACGTAGGAACTTGAGCCTTTGCGTCGTCCGTGTCGTTTATGTTGTTGTACGATATGTTTCTTCGCAAATTCCCTGCAGCATTTCTGTATTCGTGCTGTTAACAAGTATATATTATTAAAACGTACATACGTGAAGCCTAAAAAATATTCTTTGAAGGAAAACATTTAATAATGCTAAATTTTATCAATATCAAAATTTAATGTTCACTTGTGAATAAATATATAGCAGAAAAAAATATTCTCTAAAAAAAATTCGCAAGTTATTATATTTACTTCGATTTTTTCAAGCTGGAGACGTAATGCATTCCTTTCTGTCGTCAAACATTCCAATGCTTGCTGTTTTAGAACCAAAGTTTGAGTAAGAGTCGCTATTCTGGAGTCCATTTCGTTACTCGGCGTTGCCGATACAGACAATTGCAACTTAAGCCTAGAAATCTCTGAATTCTGCTTTTGTAACTGCAAACTAAATCCATTATGTTGACTAATTAATTCATCCTTCAGGGATCTTATTTCCTAAAACAACATTTGTATTTTTAACCATTACGATTTATTAATTCAATGACTTGGAGATGTGATTTTTGTAGAGATGCGAACAAAAAAATGTGTGTGCGACTTACCTCGGAATGCAATCTCATGTCTTCTTCAGTTTCTAATCTCCGACGTCTTTCACTTGCCAGAATCTCTTGATTTTGTAGATTTGTTTCGGCTGACTTTTGTCTTATCTTTTCCAAATTCAGATCTGCATTTGCCAGCTCTTCCCGCAGCATTTTCAGCTGCTGACACATTTGCTGATTTTCCTCCCTAACACTGTCACGTTCCTGCCTGCAATTTAATACGATAGATTAAATGCTCATAGAACGACTGCCGGATTAACACTGTAGACTCGTAAAATACTGGGATGTTACTTTAATTGATTCAACTCCATGATGGTGGCTTCATCCATAGCTGTCGGTGCGTTGCTTTTCAGTTCTGCTATAAGATTCTCCTTTTCTTGTAAAGTTTTCAGCGCCCTAGCCTTATGCTGTTCCAGCTCAGATCTAATCGAGTTTATCTCCTGCCTGTTCCTGTCGATGACCGATTGCAAATCTACTATTTGCTTCGACTGCTCCAACTTTTCCACCTCCATAGCTTTCAACTTTTCGTTTAGGACTACAATCTCTTTCTGGTAATCCGTCTGTTTCCCAAGGAATTCATTTTGTTTCTCGAAGTGTCTTTCCATATCTCTTATATATTTTGGCTTATTCGCTGAATCAATTGGATTATCTAAATTCTCTGTTTTCAAATTGTTTGACTTTATTTTGTATCTGGGCTGGGGATAGAATGTCACATTCGAATGTTCCTCTGCATTGCTGTGTTCTATAATACAAAAATGCAAAATATCTGTAGAAAATGACACGCTACAAATTTATATATGAAAAATTAAGATATGTATACCATTCTGTGTAGCTTCTGTTGTCGGATTATCCAGATTTTCACAATCTAAGGTCTGTACCTCGTTATATAGATATAAATTTGCATTTTCCCCATTTATCTCAGCGTCTTTATCATCCAGAGCATTAGGAATCATTTCAATTGAAACATGAGACGGAGTTGGACTAATCCGATCACTTTGAATTGATAGGTCTGAGTCTGTATCATCGGTTGGATGCTCCACCAACAACGATGAAGTGGTTGACGGTGATTTGAATGAATCCGCTGAAAGATTTCTCTTTGGACTCGGATCAGGTGTATTCAAATATGTAAACAGCGCATCATCCTTGGGTGCCGCTACATTTAACAGATTCACCGATGTCAGACTTGAGGTAGGAGCTGCATAGGGAATATGATCCGACGATCCCAACAGAGTTGTCTTGGACGTACTTCCATTTAGCCTGAAAGAAAAATATTTTCGTTATCTTTTGAATCATGTTCATGTTTTTTCATTACCTACATATTTTTACATTCGCTGTTCCACTAGCAAATGTCAAAACCTGTTGAAAGCTGTGCGACATTTCGACGAATAGAATAAATTTATCTATATTTTAGCGTTGTATGCAAATGTAAAGCGAAATGATGAAATGACATTTCGCGAAAAGTGGTGAACTGAATCCAAGTATTCAGCTGTAATAATCTGAGATTGACATGAACGCAATTACCCAGATTCTGGAGGGAGCCATGTAACTTCTGACAGATGACCCTGCGGCATCTCGTACTTATCTTTATTTAACACGGCCGCGGTGTTTTTGTCGATTTTATTTAACAGGTTCTCTGCCTTATCAGCAAGACCGGACAGCCAGGCCATATCGACGCGAGAGGTGATAAGAAATAATATACTGCCCGATGAAATGAGTAAAAACTGTGTCGCACGTAACGACGCTCGACGAGCCACCGCACCATACACTCCGCGGACTTCCGTTCGTTACGTGACAGTGAATACTGGAGTGAGTAATGAGGAGACAACGTGTTCGCGTCAGCAACTGCACCTCTCCCGCACTCGCTGCACTCAAACGAACTTTCCAATCCTCGGACAGAGAGAAATCTGAGAGAGGACATGACGGTCTTTTGCATGGTTACCTCCTCAAAATGCGCCCTCGTGCCCGCACTAACGCCCCCTGACGAAGTGGTTGTAAACTACGTAGCAACTGTCACTTTTCTGCAACGCGGGTATCCAATTTGTGGTGCGTGTCCGTGCTACATCCATCTCTCGAGATTTTCGAGACTGCTGGGGCTTTATTCTCGAAAACATGCGCATTCAAAAATCATGTTCTCTCTCAGATTACGAATACTTCCGGCGAGTAACACCGTCTTGGACTTTGTTCCGTGTCATGTATATGTATATATGTAATAATTTTGAATTCTTAAATTGAAAATTTAAAAATATATTTTTTGTATAAGAAAATTCTAAGCTTAGGTAACATAATATAATATAATATAATAAATTTGAAAGAAGTGCGCCAGTATAAAATTGCATTTTAAGAGATTTTTACTTTTATAATTTTCGAATGCGCAATTTTTCGAGAATATACATATAATCAATAAAGCTCCAGCAGTCTGGAAAGGTGGATGTAGCACAGACACGCACCACAAATTATAGTATGTATACCCGTGGTATAGAAAGGTGAATGTTGCTATGTAGTTTACATCCATTTCTTCAGAGGGCGTTAGTGCATGAGGGCATTTTGAGGTAAACACGCAAAAACGCCGCCATGTCCTCTTTCAGGTTTCCCTCTCAAGTGTCGTCGACAGCAGGTAAAGCAAATTATCAAGATTCAAGAGGACTTTTCTTGCGAGTTTATAAACCGGTTTGCAGTACGTACATATTACGTTGCACTAAAAATAATTTATGCAAAAGATCGAAAATTTGCATTAATGCAGATAAATATACAAACACGACGATTCGAAGTATGAGTCTTATGGACAACTCGAATGCGCAAATTGTTCTGGATGACCAGTTGCAGCATTTTATCGAAGCTGAGACTAAAAAGCAGCAATTCCAGGTTAGTTTCCGGGTCAGTCGCGCAAATGAATTTGCAGATTTTTTCTACTTATCTTCCTTGTATTTCGCACTTTGTAATATAAAAAATGTGTGAATATTTATTAATAATATTTTCCACGCTACTTTTTACGGATGCATAGTTCCATCTCACTTCCCGTGACATACTTGAGAGTTGAGATTATAAATTCAATTTATCTATTTGTCCACTGTCTACATTGTCCACATTTGTCTAAAATAGATTGAGCTAACATTCTTTACATGATTTTGACAAAAATACACGGTTATTTGAACATGTATTTTTCTTTTCTTTAAGCGCTTATCTGTGCTATGACTAAGAAATGGTGACTGAATTATATAATCAGATAAAACTTTCAGGGGTTGGTGCATGAATTGACCGGTCTCTGTTGGGAGATTTGTATGGACAAGCCGTCGCAACGCCTGGAGCCTAAAATTCACAAGTGTCTCGTGAATTGCGTGGAGAGATTCATTGACACCACCAATTACATCACAAACCGAATAGAACGTGTCGCCACGAGTATGCAGTCCGAGTCAGATAGCATGGAATGAAGGTATTCATTCCGTGGATTATGTGTGCTGATGTCATACATAAATTCTAAAAACTCTGTAATATATTTGTACTCTGTTTGCATATACAATTAGACAATGTTTTCGAGCATTCGGGGATTTTTGAGTCGCCACAGGCGTAAGTTCATATTTGGGAGCGTCGTCATTAGTGGCGTCATCTTTTTGACGCGTTACACGCAGCGCAAGCTGCGAGAATGGCAAGAGAACGAGATAAGGATGCTAATGGAGAGGACAAAGAAGCGACAGTACTACGAGAGCACGGAGAGATCGTGCAATCAAATGATATCGTCCCTCGCGGTGACCCTGAGGAGCTCCGTGGTCAAGGAAAATGACACAGAGATCATCATAAATCAACTTAGGGACGGCTCTGCCAACAAGATATCGTCCTGGAGCGAGTTGAAGGTGTTGGCGATCACGCGATCGGCCGTATTAATTTATTCTTATACCATGCTAGTTACATTTCTTAGAATTCAGCTAAATTTGATTAGCGGTCACATGTACAAGGGCGCGCAGAATGTAAACAACGGGGTTATCGGTAGCGAGGTGCAAGCGAGATACATGGCTCTCTCTAGTTATTTTATATACAAGGGCATTAAAGATTTGAGCAGTTTCGTAAAGAGTAAAGTTGTCGAGGTCACCGCTTCGTTGTCCCTGACGGAGAGATTGACGTTGAGAGATTTAGAGCAAATTTATTGGGCGGTAACATCTTCCGTGTCTGCCGACAGTTCGAGAGACCCTGTGAAGAATTTCACCTATTACACGTTGCAACACGATACCGAAAACAGCGACACGTCCGTCTATTCGAAGCTACGGGATCAGATGTTAGACGTGTCCGAGAGCGAGGAAGTACAGGATTTAATGCAGAAAAATATCAGAAGTGGATTCGCTTTATTAATGGATCATATATCTTCGTACTTCAGCGAACCTGCCAAAACTAATGGTGTACAGGACAAGACATCGCTTTCAGAAGGATCAAGCACTAGAAATTCGATTTTAACAAGGGGAGAAGCCACGAGCGATGCGAGTGGATTTGTAGATGTTAACAAAACCGCAATGGCCCTGGCCAAAATTATCCCTATTGTAAACGGCCAGATTCCGGATAATCCAATGCCGAACGACTTAGCAGCGGACTGGCTTCAACAGCTGATGTTAAATAATGATCTTAAAACACTCGGGGCGAATCTTTACGAGGCAGTCAGCTAAAGTTAATAGTGAGTCAATATTTTGAAAATTAAATGGAAGAATTACACTAGTTTACAGCAAAAAATTACTTTGAACGGACTAGGAGTTTTTTTATAGATTTTTGAATGCTAAAAATGATCCTTAAAAACGTGGCTAAAATCTTGCTATTGAAATTTTTAAAAATGCATTTTATAAGAAATAATAAGTTTATGACTTCTGATCGGAATTTCAAAATTAATTAATGAACACGTTTCGCAGATCGTGTATATTACTGTATATATATTCTCTCACTGAACAGAATATAGTCTTTCTTTTGGTTCATATTTCTTTTTTATCTATTTTTGATCTATTTTTGTCGTATCTTCCAATTGATTCCCTCACACACATACATATAACGTTACTGATGCAAAGTAATTTCGACACAAATCCAGTGAGAGTGGCACAGACCAATCTGTCATATAGATATTTTTCCGCAAAATCCTTTGACTATTGCGTTTTAGACATCTGTTGAATATTTCAGAGTAAAATTTTATATTTATCTTTTTCTTCTATTTTTTTGTGTTCTCCTTTCTTTACAAAAAAATTTCAAATATCGCCAAAAAAGCCATTTTTTGACATTAAACTTTAATTATCTTCGAAACCTGACGTGCTGAATAAGTTTGGTTTGCGGCATCGTTTTTAGCATCCAAAAATCTGTAAGAAATATGTAGTCCCGTTCAAAGTAATTAAAAAATTTTTTTTTGTAAACTAGTGTTATTGCTTGCACAATTGAAGAAGCAATCAATTCTTCGCAACAATATAATTTCCTTTGAATGTTTTTTCATATTCAGGTACAAGGTGTTTTTTGTATCGCAGAAAATTTTATTATGTATCTTTATTAAAATTAAATTATATATCATTAGATTAAAACACATGGTTAACGGTTTCATTAGTTTGCGATTAATGTTTACACCTAAAGGATAAATATAATTAGCAGATTAATATTTATTAGCGGATTCGTATATCTTATGGGGGAATATTTTAAATAAAACGACTAGCTATAAAACAATCGAGATTATAAGAAATCGCTTAAACGGCATTAGAACATAAGATATGTATGATAAGCGAGAATATTTTAAATTATATAATTTAATAATGATGTATTTTTTAACATGCCGTAATCGATAATAATTTTACATAATAAAATTTCATTGTTTTGGTATTATAATAGAGTTTTATTGTTCTTATAATTTTATAAATGAGGTCTCTATTTTTACACGTCTTAAATACACTGCTTTTGCTATTTGGTTAAAATAATTTGCTTAAGAAGGAATACAGTAATAGATTATCATTAATATGACATTGAAAAAATTGCAAAGCTGATTATTTCCATAATTTCTTGATCGACATATTCTTCTCAGAATCCTTTTGCATCACCTTTGCCACAGCCATCTCAAAATCTTCTTGAGTTACGTGAACTCGACGTTCTCTAAGAGCATACATTCCAGCTTCTGTGCAAACACCCTGTAATATAAATAATATACATTCGCATTTTAGAATATATGTGTAAACATAATGTGTTGAAGAAGTTACTGCATGCCAGAAAATTTGACACTTTATCGATTTTTTTTATGATAAAATATGAGAAGAGCTTTCAAAAAAATTTTCTATTAAAAGAAGGGTACTGAGTTTTTGGGAACTGTTATTCATACGAATAAATCTTTCGTGGTTCCGTTAAAAAAATTTAAGATGACCTTAAAGGGAGCAAATAAAGACTTTTAGATACTCAAAATATGCAAGAAAAAGTACAAAAATTACATCCGGGAATTTTAACGATTTCCGTTTTTCCTATTTTCTTTAATTTTTCCCGCTACAGGCATAATTTTCATGGATTCTACGACTTTAAAATACATAAAAATACGTAAGATTTATTCATTTGAGTAATAGTTCCCAAAAGCTCAATTTTGCGTATCCTCCTTCAAGATAGTCAAATGACACAAGATTCTATCTTAATATCTACACTTCTCTTTTAAATAACTTTTGGAACAAAATAACTCGTTAAAAATAGAGAATTACATTTACGTTTGACATTATGCCATTATAATTATGAATGAGAAAATTTATTTTTCATTACCTTGACTTCTGCTCCTGATGCACCGGGCATAAGTTCAGCTATCTTTCTCAGATTTATCCCACGTGTCAAATTCATTTTCCTAGAGTGAATCTTCAAGATGTCTAATCTGGCCTCTTCATTTGGAGGTGGAAACTCGATCTTGCGATCAATACGCCCAGGCCGCAACAATGCCGGATCTAAGATATCAATTCTGTTTGTAGCCATAATAACCTTTATGTTCTTCGTTGCTTCAAAACCGTCCAATTGATTAAGCAATTCTAACATGGTACGTTGTACCTGAAAGTATAAAATTACAATTTAACATAATTAAGGAGGATAAAATTACACATATTATATTTATACTAACAAGTAAGAAACTTGTTCCATACGTACTTCGCTATCGCCACCGGATCCAGATTCAATTCGAGAACTACCGATGGAATCGATTTCGTCCATGAATATTATAGACGGCGCGTGTTCTCTCGCCATTACGAAAAGTTCACGAACCATACGCGAACCTTCTCCGATAAATTTCTGCACCAATTCGGATCCGGATACGCGAATGAAGGTGCATTCGGTATGATGCGCGACCGCTCTTGCCAGTAGAGTCTTGCCGGTGCCTGAAAGATTTCACAAGATTTGTCACGATGTCATCAAAGATTTTGATAAGAAATTAAAATAATTGTGATAAACTGTAAAGGTTTCGTGAAGTTTCGCGAAGCACCCCAACAATAAAATTCCATAGTTCTGATTAAAGTTTCCGCTTCATTTTGAAAAGACAAAGAGTTCCCTATAGTTTATAACAAGAGTTGTGCTTAAAAATAAATTTCAATTTGAATTAAAAAAATGAAACTATGGAATTTTCTTGTTGGAGTGCTAACTTCACACATGCAAAGGTTTCACAGATCCTATGTAAGATCTATGTTTTTGACCGATAAAGACCTTTTTCACTTATTTGTGTTATTCTCTCGGTTTCTATACTTATTATCAAACATTTATTTAATTCATTCATGGTAATAACTTGGCAATCATGTTTTTTAGTTGTATTAAGTTGTATTACAAGGATGTGATACCTTCTTTTTTATTTTTTTAAAAATATTTTTTTAGTAACATAATAAATTTGTTACCTGGCGGTCCATAAAGCAGTACACCTTTAGGCTGCGCAATTCCGAGAGCGTCAAACAATTCCGGATGCTTGACCGGCAATTCTATGACCTCCTTTATCTCCTTTATCTGCTTATCCAAACCTCCGACCATTTCGTACGTGGAATCCGGCACTTTCTCCACCATCATGAGAGAGACGAGCGGATCGACCTTATTCGGCAGTATTTTATGCAGAGTATAACTCTCATTGCGCAGAGCGACACGGGAGTTTGGCGTCACGTCGTTGATGTCGATGTTCTTGTCTATGTCCACCACAAATTTGCCTTCCGGATGTACCTTGACCAGGACCTTCTTCTTGTCCATGGGTTTGACTACTTCTCCTACGTAGGAACCCTGTTCCTGCAGGAGTTGCAATTCCTCTCGTAGCATGCGTACTATAAAAGAGCCATAATTAAAGCAATTTTCATATATCACAATCAAGTATATCAGCCTCGTATAACAATAATATTTGTATCATTAATGTAGAATTTAATTTTTCTAGTTCTAAGAATTAGGAAAAGGGCCATAATTAAAACAATTTTCATATATCACAATCGAATATATATCTTTATGAGCATCGTATAGCAATGACATTTGTATCATTAATGTAGAATTTAATTTTTCTAGTTCTAAGAATTAGAAAAAGATAAAACAGCCATAATTAAAGCAATTTTCATATATTACAATCGAGTATATATCATCTTTATGGGCCTCGTATAACATTGACATTTTTAACATTAATATAGAATTTAATTTTTTTTAGTTCCAAGCATTAGAAAAATATAAAGAGTAAGTTTTAAACCGAGATTAAAGTCAATCTGCATTGATGGAAACGAGCATAAATCAAAACAGGCGTTTACCTTTAGCGTTGAGTTCATTACGCTGCGCTTGCAATCTCCTTAGATTTTGACTCTTTTCCGCAACAATCAGCTGCAATTCCTCGATCTTCGTAATGTAATACGGTTTAAAGCCTTCCCCTTTAGCACTCTTCTCGTCGATGTCCATCTGAAAAATTTCGAGTGTCCCGAGTTGTAGACAAACAAAGAGTTTTCAATCGGCGCGCGTAGTAATAATAATATTGAATATTTTTCTTACCTTATTTGTGAGCGTCATGACTGAGAATAGAGGGAACAATTGTTTCCCAGATAAATATTCAAAATACGCCTGTTTGGTGAAAGGGAGGCGAGGCGACGTCGGCGCGACTTAACCTCACTTTCTACAAAGCCCAACGGGATCACTTCTCACTTGTCACTCTCTCAGCCGACATTAAGCGCAATTTGTACGGTCTGCGAGTTGCCAAAATAAACATGTCAATTCGCATTTAAATATTTATTATTGGCTCAGCTTCCCTCTTTGTATTTGAATTTTTGATAACATCTACATATCCATATATTCTATCATTTTTATTTTAATGCAGAAAAATGTAATATATATGATGCAGCTACAAAGAACAAACTTACAATTAGTCCAAATAAAGTAAAAAAAAATGCGGTAAAAAGATGATTACTCCGATTTTCGATTAACTTGTTCGTCTGATTAAAAATTTAAAAATTCCCGACTACAAAAACTGATATCGTATTATTTCGTCTTCTTTGTTCATTTTTTTGTAAATTATAATTTATTTATGTAAAATATAATACTTATAATTAATAATTAAATTAAGAAAAATATAATCATTGGTTTTATAAGTTTTGCCATTGACAATTCTTAAATTCGCCGATCGAGCTAATCGGAGATAATGAGACCTAATTAAAGGAAGAATGTATAAATTTCTGATCTAATCAAGCTGAAGGAGTGACGGAGAGGGGGAGGAGATTGATATGCGTATACTATCAAAATATGAAACTTTTCGGACCGAGTGGATTTAATCGCTCCGATTAGTGACATCACATGCTCTCCTCGTCCAATCAGAAATCTAAAAATGCTGAGTCGCGCTCTGCGCGCTTTGCTCGAAAGGGTTTGCAACGTTCACTCGCGTCAGTCGCGTCCCTATTATCTTCCTACTTCATGATCCAGATCCACTTTATCGGAGAACGGTTATACACACGCTCGTACACGCCGATACCGATATATACGTATGCCTTATTCGAATACGCAATACCATCGTCGTCGATGCAAAATCGGAGTCGTGCGTCTACCTCGACGACGTTTCCGCGGCATAAATATGTAAATACAGTATGGCCGAAAGAAGCGGAAGCTTCTACACTTTCCCGGATGGCATTTCGTTATGCGACTGACGGAGTTTCGACGCTACGCCGTTCGATGTGATTCCCGTGGATACACGAGTCTCCGGAGCGAAATGACGTAAACGGTTACGCCGAGATCTTTCACGGAATATATTTCGACTAGATCCGATAAGAATGTCACTCGGTCGCCACTGGTAAGAGAGAGAGAAAGAGAGAGAGAGAGAGAGAAAGTGCGAGCTAGCGAGAGAGAGAGAGAGAGAAAGGGAGTGAGAGTGAGTGAGAGAAAAAGAAGGAGATGTTATGTTTATATCTCGGTGAAGTGTAGGAGGACACACCGCTCGTGAACTCTAAATACATCCCTCGCGCGCGCGGAGGATGGAATGCAACGAGCGGAGGCACGTTCGTCGGTGCACGTTCTAAAGCTACACGACGATGCCGCGGCAGGCCTACACCGCGTGCCCCGCCGACATTCCGCTCGGCGGCGTCGACGATGTCAAAGCCATAGGCGCCGCTGCCATGGACACGGACGTGGAGCTCGGCAAGGGCGAGGGGTGCGAGACCATCCCGGGCTGCTCCGGCTACTCGAGCATGGTGCACAGCAAGAAGGTCATTAAGCACGCGTTGCGGCAGCAGGCCAAGCGGCGCAGGAAGAACACGACGATAGCGTCGGGCAATTCCCGCACGTTGCCCAGGATCGTCGTCAAGCCGCTACCGCCGCCGCCGCCGAACGATCCGCCGTCCCCGGTCAATAACGTGCAGCACGTCAACGCCGGTAAATCTCTCGAGCCCCGCTCGACGTTTATTCCTCTCCCGTCTCCACTTCGCTTCTCGTTTCGCACAGGAGAGTCAGGTGGATTCGATGATTTTCTGCACGCCTGTCTGTTGCAGCGAGCGGTGTGATAACATCTGTAATGTTTATTTTGAGCAGTATAATAGACGGGAGATTATTCATGTACATTAGGTGACCAGAGTTAGTGATCATGAGTCACCGCTGTACATTGATAAATACTTATGCAGATTTGTTTTTACACTCTCGCCATTAGGAAAACACTAGTGGTACACACGACGTGCAGAAAAGCAATTCTACTGACTCTCCAATTCTGCTAATTTTCTTCACATAATTTGTATGCATTTATTTAGCATCACAACTGTGTGTACTATAAATCAGGATTACATTAGAGCATGTCCCAGTCTATTGATATTTCATTAATATTATAAAGTTACAATTTAATACAAGAGATTTGTCTTTCAGTCATTCAAATGAAAAAGTGAAAAAGGAAAGAGATATCATAAAATAATTCACATTTATGTGTCTATTTTTCATTACTTTGATGTAATAAATTGCATATAAATGTCTCAGTATAGATCATAATCAATGTTACATTTCAACATTCCTAATTATGCTATGTTTATGAGAAACTCAATGAACTTTTTAAATATTAATAGAAAACTTTGATCAATGATTGCATAATCATTTACATTTTCATTACTTGTTGCAAGTATGCAGAATATAATGTAATGATAATACATAATACTAATACTATTATAATTTGAGCAAACGATCATTGTATAAGTTTATTTTATTTCCTTTAGATCCTTGATGCAAAGTAGTGATTGTAGTAGACAGTTTTATATACAATTATTGATGTGATAATAGCGGATCATCTCAAATAATTCATATTTTGTACTTATATAGCAACGGAAGAACCTGCTGCCACAATGAGAGAAGTTTTGGCGAGTCTACCTGGATTTAGCTTAAAGTCAAGCCGCAGGCGATCGACAAAGAGACTGTCCGCAACCGCGCAATTAGAAGCTGGTCTCGTGGATTTGGAATCTCCAGCGAGTATATTAGCAAGTACGAGCTTACGCGCTCTGTTAAATAGGCATACGTTTCAAGGCTTGCCTCCACTTTATCAAAGGAAGCTCGCGCAACTCCTGCCTGCTGTAGACAGACAGGTACTGAACACAATTTCTTAATCGTCTATAACATCGAATTACTTCAATTTCATGTGTGATTTAGATGAAAATATCAAACTCTTTTTTTGTGATGAAATTGAACTCTTTATTATATTCGATGGGATTTAACTTATATTATTCTACGTTATTCCTCTAGGACGCTGCTATCTCTGGATTGAACAATGAATTTTTCGCGAGAGCTTGCCTAGAATGGCGGAAACGTCTGGCAGAAGGAGAATTCACGCCGGAAAATCAGCAACGCCTGAAGATGGAGGCGGAGCGAGACAAGAATAAGCTGGATCCATGGAAGGTGAAACACTTCGAACCGATATGGGGAGAGAAGCGAGAGCCTAAACTTAAATCGAATCTCCATTACATTACCGAGTCACGTTCCAGCGGTGCTGTGACACGATCGAGTTTAAGACTTCGTCTGGAATCTAGCGTGGATATTCCTACGTCGGAGCACGCAGTCTGTCCCATCGTAATGACCGAGGACAAAGTCGACACTAGCTGCAAGACCGAGATCAGCATAAAGACTTCCGACGATCTAGTTAATTCTGAGGAGGTGCAACAAAATCTATTGCCCTTGGATTACAACGCATTGCCGGACAATGTGACCGATGAGAAACATTTAGATGACTCCATGCAAGTAAATTCCATAGAGGTGACGGAAGATATTCAAATGCACGACAGTAAGCTGGAAGAAGTTGACAAGCTTGCGGATATTTGCGAGAAACAGGATTTGGTTGAGGCCAGTGAGATCGCGAGACAGATATGCCAGGAAGCCATCTCGAATGTGTACGAGGAGGAGACGAACTTTTCCTCGAGCGAGAAAAATTTACAGCCCATGGAAAACAACGTGATCGAAGCGTCGGAGGAGGACACCGTGCTGCTACCCGACGACAATTCGTCACCCAGATCGAGCGAGCAGATCGAACGCGCGTCGCACACGTCCGGGGAATCGATGTCGCAGTTGTCCAGTGAATATATATCGCAAGCGTCCCTCGATCAGATTTCGCAGATGTCCAAAGAACAGATCTCGCAAATATCCAGCGATCAGATTTATCAGATATCGGATTGCGAGACCGCGAGTATCCTCGAAAGCTCGTCGCCGCAGGATCAAGTCAGGCCCGCGGATATCGTTATCGAGGATACCAGTTTGATTAACAGCGATCAAACTGACGTGACACAGGCTTCCCACGAAAATCCAACGGACAGCGAATCGCAAATTCCAGAAGGAATGGAGATCGATAGCGAGACTTTACAGCGTATTCACGAACTCGAGGTGAGAATTTTAATACACTAACAAACGCGCTATTATTATATATTTAAGAGATTGTAGATGTATTATTAGCACAATCTCGATAAACTGTAATAGAAAATTAAAAGAATGTGAAAACTACTGTTATTATACCGTTTCCATACCGCGCTGTTATAAACTATATTAATCATACTTTAGGTACGAGGAGAAATGCGGGAAATGTATGAAGAGATTTCGGGATGTCCAGAGGAGATAATATATCCAATTCTGGAGGGAATGGAAATGGCTTCAACTAATGCAGAAGTAACCGAGCCTCAAGTAGTAACTGGACAAACTGAAGATACTACGGGAACGGACGTAAATGTTGGTAACGAGGACGAAGCTTTGCGAGAGGCGAATAATTATGTCTGCTCTGAAATGTTGGAATGCAGTTGGACGGTGGATCCGACCGTTAGTAACATCAATAACAACAATAGGGTAAGCATATATACATAAATAATTATTTTGATATTATTTACGTTGTATATAGCAGTGATGAATGATTTACGAGTTGATGATGTACACGCGTTATTTTTTTCAAAACAACTCAATTTTTGAAGATACAAAATAGTATAAGATTTGAACACAAAATAACCAGTTCGAGTTTAGGTAGAGCAAAGTTGGAATGTTTAGAGAGCAAGATAAAGAAATTAGAATTTAGCACTTAATTACAAATAAGAAATACTAAAGAGATAATTTTATAACAACTAGATCGATTTCTTCTCGATGCTTGTCAGGGAAATAATTAAAATATTACGATATAAATAAAATTATAACACAAAGAATATAGATCTTGAAGTTTAAAGAGAGATTTCATATGAGCAGTATAAAAAAAAAAGATAATTTTATAATAACTAGATCGATTTCTTCGCGATGCTTATCAGGGAAACTATCATGATATACTAAATAAAATTATAACACAAAGAATATAGATCTTGAAGTTTAAAGAGAGATTTCGTATGGGCGGTATAAAGAAGAATTAGTATAATTGATAAATTCTGCTTATTTTTTCAAATATCCAATGTTAAAAGTTTAAAAGTTTATATTTTATATTTGCCTTTTTCGTAAAGACGCAGGAGGAGCTGCAGGTACCTTGGCCTTTGGTGGCGGCTGCTCTTGACGGATCGGTAGCTGCTAATATCACAGTAACGACGCAGGATGAATGCAGCGAGACGTCCACAACGACCGACTCTACGACTTCTTCGCAACAATTCATTAATACGGACACCAACGTGGAATCCGTGAATTGCATTCAGTTGCCGGTTGTTCAAGGAACCACGTTTCAATCGGATGGCAGCCTAGCTATCAGCACACCGGGCAACACCTGCGTTATGAAGAGCCTGCAGTCGCAGAGTCCGCCGATCATCGCGTTCCCGCAATTGCAGTCCATCAGATTTGTGCAAACGAGCTTCAATCCGGAACAGGAGGCGACGTCTCCGCTGGCGAATAACTCGTCTACGATCTCGGCCCAGCTTCAGCCCCAGCAGAGTAACGCCGCGCAGGTTAACATGATACGGGCGCAGGATACCATCACTCAGATAAATACTCAGAACAACGGTGTGCGCGGTAACGTGAATCAGAACACCATTGTGACGCAAGGCCAGGTGCAAAATACCCTCCCGACCACGATGGGAGTACAGTCGCAGAATCGTGCACAAAATGCGATCGTTATTCAACATCCGACTGCCGCCTCTGTTCAACCCCGGCAAATCGCGGCCGCCGTGCATCAACAGCAGCAGCAGCAGCAGCCACAGCAGACGCAACAGCAGCAGCAGCAGCAGACGCAGCAACAGCAGCAATACGCCGGACCGTCAGTGACCGTTTCGTCGCGACCCTCGCGCGTATCCAATCAAAACACCCAAAGAGGCTCTAGAAATAGTAACAAAGAGCAAGGGAGCAGATCGAGGAGCTCCACGAAAGAACCTCCGGGCGCTGTCAACTTGGAGCGCAGCTATCAGATATGCCAAGCGGTAAACTGATTCGCTATCCACTTTAAAAGTTTGACACTTGAATACGTGATAAAGATACGAATTTATCGTTACGTTCGATGCGCATTACATTGATAAATGTAGGAACGCTGATATTATTTCAGGTCATACAGAGTTCACCGAATAGAGATCAGCTGAAGGCCCATCTCAAGCCACCGCCGAGTTTGCTCGCTAGAGGAGACGGTGCATTCACGACCAGCAAATCGGGCGGGCGCACCCTGACGACGGTCAAACCCCAGAAAACGCAGCAGGCGATACAGCACAATAAACAAGCTCAAAATAAGACGCAGGCAGTTATGCTGAGACATGTATTCGCTACGGCGCGTCAAGCCGCATCAACGGAGGTACGTAGCGTTTATTACGTTTATTAATTACATAGCTATTTAGATTTATTTACCTATGCTGCTTTCCGCACGTAATTACTCGCTATATCAAGGGTAAAGTATATTAATATCAATTTTTTTATGAATCTGACATTTCCAATAAGCGAATAAAAATATACAAAAAAAAAACGCTTATTCTTATGCGACATATTTATAACAAAGATGAGACCTGAAATTCTAAAATTAATAAATCTTACAAGAACAAATTAAGGAAATAAATTGCAGTAAATAATACAGATTACATACCTTACTATAAATATATCGCTGATTTGAGTTTATCCTTCAATATTTCTCTTATTGTTTGAAATGTATATACTGAAACGCTTGACGTACACGCATACTATTTTATCCTTTTTTGTGTGTACAGTGCTAATCTCGCGGGTCTCTTGTGATGATCTCGGTATCATACAGGTACCTAAATAAACAAATCTTTACATTAGTTTTGGGTTTCTAAACGCAGTAGAGATAGTGCGAACTTTAATTATCAGACGCAATGACGCAGCAACGATCTGTGTGAAAAGCTACAAAAATTTTTTCTATAAAAGTATGACAAGGATGATGGACAAACGCAACTTATTACGCAACCAACCGGGCTTAGAATACTGTAATTGAAATGTTATTTGTTTTAATATTTTTCTACTGTCGGTTAAAAGTAGCACTTGAACGTGCAATACGTCAGTTCAAGTTGCGTAAAAACGTTTATGGTGATTTCGTTAATAAAGTCCCCGATGCCTTGTAGGTTACAGAAAGCACTCCTATAGCGCAGCTTGGTTCCACCACCAGCAACGGTCTCGGGCAGTATATACTTGTACAAAGGACAGGAGTCGGGGATAGTGCGCCGAGAGCATCGTCCGCGCCTCCGTTACCGCCGCAGATCGCAGGGATGGGCGTTGGGGTCCATTTGGTGCGAGGTAGACCGGCGAGCGCCGGCGAGGGTTCCCATCAGGCTGTCACCCTAAAGGCGAGAGGCCCGGACAGCAGAGTGACAGGCGGCGCGGAACCGGGCGCGCCCGGCATGATAATCGGCGGCGATCCGCCACCCCCGTGCGAATGTAATATGCGAGGAGCCATGGTAATTTGCCGGCAGTGTGGTGCCTTCTGCCACGATGACTGCATCGGGCCTCAACGTATCTGTGCTACCTGCCTCATACGTTAAATCACTCCATCTTCATCCAACCGCGTTCGTGTATAAAAATTAAACCCGTCGTAAGAGTGCTGAGCATCCAAGTTGGTGAAACGGAAGATATCAAACATGTTATCGTATTAATTAATTTATGTACATGTATATTATATATAAATATATACGTATATAACACGCAACACACGTATACATGTATATACATATGTATATACGCATGCGCGTGCATATACACACACACACACACACACGCCCACGCACACACGCACAATGTAATATAAAATTACAATATATTACAAGATGTAATTAGAAAATTCGGGAACAACATTTCCGTTGACATTTGCTGAATATTGCGATCAGCGTTTGACATAGTATGCCATATTTTGCATGAGAAATATTGAATTACAATTTTTATCTAATTTTGTTTATTAATAAATATTGTCTTTGAACTTTTATTCATATTTTATATATTAATACATTCAATCAAACGGTTGAGACAAACGTTCCCAATTACTAAAACTAATTACCAAAATAATTTGTTTTAGTTATTGCGGGATTGAGATGAAAAAATAATAAAAGAAAGGTCTAGTTTATATTATGAGCTTTTATCTATAATATAATTTTATATTATTTTCTTTTTGATATTTTACAAAAAAGTATTAGATTTTGTCATTACAATGATTTTAGATAATCAGATAATCAGCTTGCAAGTTATGCAAAGCTTGCTTTAAAAGATTATGAAAATTTATATTATAAAATAAATATCTTTTAACAATTTTTTTATTTTTTCTAAATTTCTTAAATTTTCTATTACTTCAAAATTATTATATATTATCATAAGCTCAAGTAAAGAATTTATTTTTCCTTGTAAAAAGTTATTTACATATGTATCAGAAACGATCATACTGCAAATGTCTTGTGTACTTTTAGTGTTTCAAAATAGAAAATAGTAATACTGATTTTGACTGATAGTAATATTGAGTTTGTTATAGTAAAAACTATCTTATTTGACTGCGATGCACTCATGTAACGTATGTAATGTATGTTTATTTAGTTTAAAAATTACAAAGTATTGCCCAGCACTCTTATATGAACGGAAGTCTTTGCAGATTAAGGGTAATGAAGGATACAGTTGCGGGTATTGAAAGATTCGCTACATTATACAGCAGATAAAAAAACATATAAATAATTATGGAGCATCTTATTCTGTTATCTTGCCTATCATAATTTTATTACAAAAATGATGAGTATAACGAATTGTTAATATAAATAGTAAAATTAATAAACTTCTGTATAGACTTCTATATAGACATTGTAAATGTCTATATATAAAAACGCGAAATTATGTTAGGACAGTTAGTTTGTATTATAAGCGTAGCAATATACTTGCCTAGTTATTTGGATTTGATTATATTGACATGAAAAGATTATAAGTTGAGTAATTGAAATTTCATTGTCTCTGATACTGTTTTAAATACTATATTACTGATTGTAAGTTAATTTATATATTATTAATATATAATTTCTACTGTGTATTTTTCATTAAAATATGCAAATGGAAAAAAATTTTTAATATTCAATATGACGGATAAATACACAAAAGAATTCTGTGAGGATACTTTGCGCAATGTTTTTTTTTAAATCATCAAATGATCTAGTCTGTACTATACATATACATCTCTTCTACATTTATTTATTGCGCTATTTATTAAAGGTAATCTTTTTATAGTTTTTATATTCTTTATTATGTAACCACATTGCCATTTTATATGCTTATGATTATTACGAAAAATATATTTACTTCATTCATAGACATCTTATTTATTCATATTTGCACCATTTGCATTTAATAATGCAATGTGTATAATGTAATTCTGACTGTTAATTCCAATATTTCAACTGTATTCTTGTGCCCTTGCTTAAAAGGTTTAATCTCTTATATACCGACCCTTAATACAGTCTTCCACTAAACATCACACTCTATAATATGTATGTTTGTTATTTATTTATTAACACACGAATTTATTTTTATTATATAGCTGCGTAGAGGATATTCCTGTACATGTTGATCTCGAAGCTAAACGACGAATCCTTTGTACATGCTCTCTTTTAATCATTCCTTTGGAATATAGAGTGATCTACCGAACTCTTCGAGTCTTAATAATAGTTCAGACTACCTTTTGCACATGTATTAGTACATGTTGTATGTCAAACATAGTATTGTCGGACATTGTGTACAGGAACAATAATATATCACTGAGAATGAATAATTGATTAAGATTAATTGCAAATAATAAGAGAAGTAACTGAATATTCGTAGCTCTAACATAGACATATATGTAGCCTGTATATCATTCGATCTTATCTCCCACTTTGTTACGATTAATTCTCTAATGTTGTTAGTTATACCGAGGAATGATTTATTGAGAAATTGCGAAGAATACGATCATTAACATAATTTTATCGATGTATGCTCCGTAGTATATCTAGAAATATTCTGTGCAGTACAAATGATGCAGTAATAATTCAGAATCGTTTGGAAGTATCGTTTCTGGCAGTCGTAGGGTGATTACTATCTTGGACTTGAATTAGGACATACATATATATATATATATATATATATGAATACATTAATTGTATTCAATGCTATAACTGTACACCTTGTACAATGTTACTGATAGATGCAGGAGATGCACATTGTAGTTGACTTTAATTGTACTCATTTCTTCTCTTTATCTTTTATCTCGTGTGAATAAGATACATTTATTCCCTGTGTCAGATCGATGTAAATGGATCGGCGACTAAATAATATTATTTGCGAGTATCATTATCTGTAACTAAATACGCATAAATTCAAATGTTGAATATTTAAAAAGAGTGGCAGCTATTCCAATGTTAAGATCAAAATATACATCGTAAATAATTTTAGAACTGCGTAACAAAAATATAACTTATATGGTGAAGTAAGTTCAAGAATGTAAACAGATAATGAATTTATCTTATTCTTTTACTTTGGCTTTTTTTGATTTGAGATTTAACAGTCATATAATTTAATATTGAAAATTTGGACTGATGATCTTATCAAATTTTTTACATATTTGGAAATGGTATATTTATTAATGGATAAAAAGTAACAAAATAAAACTGATAAGAAATATTTTTCGTCGGAAATATTTTCGATAAACCGGAGAAATTGTTTCTGAAAAGATGTACATAATTTATGTATAAAATATAGTAATTTGTAGTGATTGATTACCAAAACACCAATTTGTTGTAAGAATTTTGCATAAAAATCATATTTTGCGAATTCAGTGTTTTATTTTATTCACTAGGATCTAATAGACTTACAAATTGCAACATCAACGAGCATTCATCTTTCACTGACTTAATTTCCATGCTAGCGCACATAGATATGTACAACGCGTATATATAAATGTATAATATTATTTGTATTTTGTGTTATTGGAAACTCATATTTAGTATAGGAGTAGAGAAAGAACCAGACAATAGTAAATATGATGACTGAGATTGATAAGATCATGGTGTGCAGTTGCAGCATTATAATACGTTTTATGTACATTTTATTCATTCTATGTCATCTCCCTCTCTATGTGCATACAATCAGACCCTCATCTGTTATTGTTACGATCGTAAGGATTCTAAACAATTAAAGATTTTTGAGGCAATAATATGCTAAATCGCAATGTAAAGATGTGCCAGAACTTAAGTTCTATAATTACTTGCCGACTCCACCGTACATTACAAATTAAATCATTTATATATATATTTTTCTTTTTAGGAAACAACATACGAAGGAATAGATACGATAAAAACCTTTTTCTGTTATTGTTTTTATAAAATTTTTATTTTGTATGATTTAACATGTTATCGCCCCGGCTCGTCAACTTAACGAAGTTAAGAAATATTGCATTGCATTGTGTCATACTTCTCTTAAATATTTTTAATCGTATTATTACTTACCGATATCGATTGTCTATCATGTCATCGTGATTATGATCGTTTATTTTTTATCAGTAATGATAGCAACTAGTATATTACTGCAATTTTCGATAGAAGTTACTCTGTATCCGTCGCTCAAATGTAAATAAAGTAACGTACGTTTAATATGGAGAAGTTGTTTAATGTGCAAGTATATCACAATTAAAGAACGTTCGATATATATATATGTATATATATATATATATATATATATATATATA